TTCACATGTAATTACTTAGAAACAGCAATGGACTCTGGGGATATAAGATGAAGAAAATGAACAAGAAAATTAAAGAGATACCCGGAAAACTAGACTGTTTGAACTAGTAAAAAAAAGGGACAGACGGGCAGAGCCACGACAGTGAGGGCTCAGATAATGTGTGTGTGTGGTGTTATGTCTGTCCGTCTCTGACGCACATGCTGATGTCAGAAGCCCTCGGACAAAAGGAGTCTTGTGATAGTGAATTGCTGGCTCTGCGGCAGTTTTTTATCCGAACCCCTCCTCTCACGCCCCCCCCCCCCCCCCCCGTCACAAAACAACCTAACACCCTCAGAGCGGTGGCTATGTCCGGGCTTGTTACCACCTTCCATGTCTGCTCCTAGTTCAGTTTCACAAAGTTGTCTGTGGTGGGAAACATGGAGCTACACCGCCTCCTAGAGAAAGTACGCTGTAACATGTGGTTCATTATTCTCCTGGCATGGTAACAGTTTTGTCTTTGGTACTGTGACCATCGTTGTTGCATTCTGTATTGTATTTACTGTGTATGGGAATTTAAATGTATTTTTCACAAGTAAGAATTCTATTATTTTTCAGGAATTCAGTAGTGGAAATAAAAAAACATCCAGCCTACTTTTACTGCAACAAGTTTCAAATCAAAAACATCTACAGTTTTCTGTCCTATGTGAGTTGGTGATGTCTGCTTTTCAGGCACGGCTGTGATATAAATCTGATAATTCTATCTCATATTATTAATTCTATTTGATATCACAAAACCTTCTATGATCATTGACCCTTTGTTGGTCCCTCTAATTGAGTGTGCGTACCATAGAGCATGCAGGCGTGTGTTTGCAGACTGTTGAGCAGGTCTTTGTGTTTTCGAGAGGCGGCAGCCTGGATTGAGAGGATGAGTCGTGCAGAGAGAGCTGGGTTACGCTGGCCCAGCTGGGACAACTGCACAGGAAGAGATGCCAACCAACGACACAGCACCTTACTCCTTCAGAGAGACAGAGGGAGGGAGAACATACAGGCGCACATCAACCAAAGGCAGCCAGAGTTACAGTTAGGAACGACGTGTCTGGTTATACAAAGGCACAGTGGAAGGTTTGGAATCTTTGGAATTTTTATTTGGGACTCCAGAGGTCAATTGTTGTACAGACAAATAGTGTAAAAATGTTTAAAAATAAAGAATATTAGAGCGCAGTGCTTCAAAAGCCAAGTGGAAAAATATCTTTGCCGTCCACTTATTATACAAGTCTTAAGCAAGGGCACAGCCCTGGATGAATTAGCTTGAGTAAGACATTATTTCATGTAGACTATACAACACATGATCCTCATTAACCCTTCATGTATTTGACTGGATGAACAAAATTGCCTCATAAACAGTCACTGGTCTGTGCTTGTAATGCACAAAAGCTGAGGTTGTGAGATGTTGTAGTCTGGCACTGCAAGACCATCATGCCATCGTGACAGGATATTGTGTTTTCTCCTACAAGTTGGGTTTCAATTCATGAAAATCTAATTTAATACGGAGCTATTGCTGTGTTAGCTGTGTACAAGCATTGTAAGTCCCCAGTTTGATCTCCCACAGGTTGAACAACAATGACTGAGGTTACCTCGCTATGTGTGTATTTCCTTGCTCCTGCAGGTAGAGCTTGCTGTAAAACGACAGCAGCAGCGATCGTGTCTGTAGAGTCAGGTGTCTCTGCTTATAGTAGACATACACCGCTGCCAACAGATCCTCTGTCACTGCTGCACAAATTCAAAACGTACATACAAACATTAATGTTAAAATGACGTTAAAATATATATTCTAGTTCACCAACTAGTATCTGGAAACCAACCCATTCATACTTTTATGTTACAAATATCAGACACACGCTTACTTGTGCTTCTCTGTGTGAACACCATCTTCCACACAGTACCCAGCAGCATGTGGAGCTGCCTGTAGCTCAGTTTCACTCCGCTGCCCAGAGTGTCTCGGACAAACGTCCTGAGAGGTGTCAGCCAGTCTCCATCCGTCTCTCGGCCGAGTCCTTGCCTCTGGCTGAGGGACACCATGACTTGGCACAGTGTGATGTTTAGGGCCAGAGGCTCCACTGTCAATCCTGGGACGGCTGCAGTCTGCTTACTCCTAAAAGAAAGTGCCGAGGGATTACAGTCGTTTGAGCGAGTAAAAGTCTTCATAACAGAAGTTATGATTACAGATCCTGGGTAGTTTATGCAATGATAATATTACTTGCCTTTTGAGATCCACCTTCTTTCTATGTTTTGGTGTGTCCCGAGAACCATAGGGAAAGTTTTTCATGAAGTGCTGCTTGAAATCTCGGAGGTATTCTTTGTAGAACCATGCATCCTACTCAAAGACAAGGCATTTTTAGTAAACCTTTTCTAGTACAGAATACTACCGTGTGATGCTTCTCCTCTCCTCGTCTCACCAGTGCCTCCTGGTGCTCCCTCCGCGGTGCCAGTTTTCTCACCATTTGCAGAATAGACAAAACCTGGAACATTACCGACATGGCATCTAGGCCGAGCAGGTGAGCGCCCTCAGTGGAGTTCCAGGGACAGTCACTGGTGCTGGCTTCTACCCACACTTCAAGCAGAAGAGGCACCATTGTGGCTGCAAAGCTCTGAACAGCCTCAGCTGAGTCCAGATCCTCACTCACCGTGGGTCCATGGTTCACCTCCGCTCTACACAGAGATAGAATAAAATAAAGAATAGGATTAAGATGAAATCTAATAGTTTAAAATCAACTGGAAAAAAGTTTATTTATTTATTATGTCATATAAATTCTGTTTCCGTTTCCTATTCCTTGATGGTAACAGGAGTTTGTGTTGTTGTACCTGAGTCTAAAGGTGGACTGGGGGGTTGGTTTGGCCCCAGAATGCTCATACACCTTCACTCCAACCTTGCTGTAGGTGAGTTCTTCCCAGTTGAGATACAGAGGTGTAAGCTTGCCCTCTCCACTGGGGCCAAATGCTCCTTCAGTTGGGATAAAAATATCACTTTCCTCCACCGGTCTTTCCTCAACTACTGCCTGCAGAAAGCGTCCAAGCCTGAAATACAAATGACACAAACCAAAGCATTAGCAGCTAGAACTTTGATTTCACTAAATTCTTTAGAGTCTGTGCGCACATGGCCTCAATACCTGAGGAGCACAGAGAGCCGCCACTGCTGACTAGTCACAGCCCTGCTAGGGTTGACTGACAGTGCCCAGGTCCATCCCTTAGCATCCTGGGCCTTGTTGGCTCCTCCACTGCTTTGTCTGTGAGAGATCAACTCTAGGAAGTTAGTGATGAGTACCGCAGGCCGTGCTGCTAGCAGAGCAGCGTAGTGTTCCAGCAACACATCCAGGATCTTCATGGCGTCCTCCTGAATGCTTGCCTCGATGTGGGTCATGGCGCAAGATAGGTGGGCACTGAGGACGGGGTAAAATGGAGCCACTCGTTCTGCAGGCACAGACTGTGCAATGAACCTGGAACAATTTCACAGTTAAGCCCATGATATATATTAAAAGAAAAACACTTTAATGTTGTATTCCTCAATCACTGTTGCTTCGCTAACCTGAGCACACGAGTAGCTGCCACACGAACGTTGCCATCCTTGTCTGTGAAAACAGCTGCCACTTCAGAAAGCAGGCGAGACAGATGCTGCTCCAACAGAGACGGATTGAGCGACAGCAACTCTTTCAAACCCAACAAGGCACTGTGTTTTATATTGGCACTGTAATGGTGGAGCTGAGACAGGAGGTCCTGGAGCAGTAGAAGGAAAGAGAGACAAAGCAGAGAAATGAAAAGCATTCCAAAAATGAATGTGTCGTGAAAGAATGTGTTGGTCGACAGGTAAAGAGCTTACATTGATACCAAGGTGTCTGTGCGTGGTGGGGCCACTTGTGTCTCTCTTCAGCTGTTCGGTTATATTAATTCCCTTTGAGCGGAAGTTGGTGTTGGTGGCATTATCAGCTTTGGGCTTCGTCTTCCCCACCTTTAACTTGACCTTCTGGAAGTCATCCTGTCTCTTCTTCTTCTTGGACTTCATCGCTGCAGTCTGTAACCAGGCATGCACGTGAGATGATGGGAGTGAGTGCATTGATTTCAGTAAGAACCATACAGAACCACTTCCATACGTTTGGTACAGACAGCTATAGCATTCAAAAATACATTTTGTGGCACAGTCTGTACAAACCCACAGTACAAATAGTCAGACTATGGGAGCGTTTAAATCATAACGGTGCGGCACCTGCGTTAACGTCAGCTAACTTGAGGTAGCTAGCTTGTAGCTAACTATACATCATACATGACAGTTCTTCATGTCTACCAATTGAAAAAAGACTCGGTCACTACCGTGATAGGTTTACACAGCACCAAACACTCACTCGGTGTATATCGGTAAATAGTAGCCCCCTGCTATCAATTATCAACACGTATGAAAAGAAAATGTTCTGTTTTCAATCTCGTGTTGATCCCTCGGGTCCTCTCAGTGTACCGGAGCTAACGATATAAAACGTGTGACGTGGACCCCATATACGTTTTCTTAGATGCCCCAGCAGTATTTCAAGCACATACTTGTCATTGGAGTTAATCAAATACAAAAGTTGTCCCCAAGTGTCATGAGAAATATAAACGTTTCAATACCTGGTTAAATTTCTCTCCAGCAAGGTGTAACGGTAAGCCCTGGCACACAAAACGAACGTAATATCTAGTTGTCCTCACAAGTGCCTTAGAAACATTATAATCATTAATGGATAAAATAAACACTGTAATTATAAATTATGTAATTTTAAATAGCTTGGCAATGTGACATATTCATGTTTGAGAGTTTTGTTGTAAAGCGAGAAGTTAAAACAGTTAAATGGTGTCTTTTTTAGACAGGCAATAACCACCGCTACCTATTATCTCGGAAGCAGCTCTGGGCTTGGAAATTGTGTTTATTCTAACATCGTATCGCTGTTCCTGTACTGCCGATCGTTTGCTTCGAGGAACTCGTAGTTTGCATTAAATAACTCTGGTAAGTTAGGTACTAGTGCCTTTCTGTTGAACTAGTGGAGATACTTGTGGTCTTTGTTGTTTGGATTTGCTGAGATATTGTTCGGAACTAGCGTAATGTTGTCAAGAAGCGGGCAAATTAAGGCTCGGCTGGGCCTGAGATGAAACAAAACAACATATAAAAACGAATATGCTCGGATAAAACAACATAGATCATAACTCAATAACGACTCACGAGCGCGTGTCTCTGCGTTGAAAATTATTTGTCTATGAATGTTTTTGATGCGATCGCCTTCTTTGTCCCACAGACGAGAGAAACTGAGGAAATGGAGGATCAAGCTTCAGTCAACCAGCTTGCACATAAAAATGGGCCGCAGTCAAATCAGAAGAGAAATCCCAGGGTAAGTATCACAATAACATGTACACAGCTAATAACAGCGCAAACAAATACACTCGTATCTCCTCACATGTGTAATGCTGAGCGCTCATGAAGGAAACATGAGTTCCTTTTGATCTTTGTTGTACACTGTCTGGCTGTGTTGATGCCTGATGGAGAGTCAGGCGGCAGCAGCAGCAGTCCTTTGGCACGTGGACTTGGTGCCAGCCATTGTGCTCTCAGGATTGTGTGTTTTTTGCACTCTGGTGTATGAAGACCTTCACTCAGTGGTCTGGGCCTCACATCTGTGGCCAGTGTCATCACTGTTGTGGTTTTAAAGGAATTTCTTTGCACCCGCTTTGTTAAGTCCACTTCGTTGGCTTCACAATGCAAACATTTCTGCAGGGTTCTGAAACTGATTTTAAAGTTTACACTTTTTCTCAGATTCCACATTTAGTTGTATGTGGGATGTGACCTGGGTTCTCTGAACCAATGTCTAATGGCTACTCAGTTTTTACACCTGAGTGCTGTCACGTCCACAACCAAAAAGACTCCTGGAGGGACCCTCTGACAAATATTTGTTTTGAAAGCAATTACATAAAATTTAAATCAGCTGCAATGCAGACTATTGCTGCTGCGATTACTACACGCATTACTATTGATTAAAAGTTAATTACATTTAACACAGATTACAGATATTTTTCTTTTATGAGCCACATGCAGCATTTTGAATTTCCCTTGTGAAATTCATGTTGTCTCAGGATGAGTAACTGCCGTGATAGTAGCAAGAGATGAACCTAAATCCAGGCCACAAAATGTTGAAGGAACTACCTCACCCTCCCTTTGCTCCTCCTGAAAAGGAGGTCAATGTTTGGTTGTCAGATCATGTGTGTTTGCAATTTTAGTCAGTCAAACTTCGATTTAGGCGGCTCCCAAACACACCACACTTGGTGTAAGACCACAATACACAATGGAAGAAAAACAAAGACTTGGTGCAACATCTCAATTGCATTCTCCTGGAAAAAACGTTTAGACTGATCCCAAGACTACTTGACTTGAATTCCATGTACACACTTGTCTCTTTGACTGCCACTGCTTGATGCAGAGGTCATGGCGCGATGGCATATATATTGTGGCGGACATGGACGAGGAGTTCAGTCCTCTGCCAAGTGTCATCCTGTCACTAATGCCTGTATGTGTCTCTCTCCTTCATGTGGGTTTATTCCCTCCATTGACAGAGAAAGCAGCCGCAGCATTCTGCTGATATAGGTAAGTCCTTTATACACGGTGCCAGTGCTGAGAGTTGAAGCTTGAAATCTTGATTTCCCTGCTTCGTGTCATGGGTGATGGTGGCATGTTCACCACTCTTTGAGACTCACACTCTCAGAAACGGGGACTGTTGTGGTGCTATCCATAGCGCTGGTCTGTGGAAATCACCACTGCAGAAAATAGTCTTTAAAGCAATTTGCAATATCTTGCCACAATTTTACTATTTTAGAATGTTTTCAACACAAGAAATATACTGAACAATCTTAGAAATTTCAACCCATTCTCCTAAGATGTTGCTACATTAAAGACCAGCACCATAAGCTCCACTAGTCCATCGGGACACCTACAAATGGTCTTAAAGCAGCGGCACATCTGATGGTTGGTGATGAAGATTTAATACAGTTTTTGTGCTGGGATGTTTTTTTGTTTTTGTTTTTTTTTCCCACCGTTAAATATTTAACACTGCTGAATGCAGTAATCATTTTTTATTCAGATGCCTGTGCTACACTGGCTTGAAATATAATTTGTTGTAATACATTATTAATTAATCAGAGTAACTATAGTTTTTTCAGATAATACAGGATTTTATTATGTGTTCGCACTTGACCTGCTTCATTGGCGCTACACAGAGGTGACTCTCCTGTGGTTGGACACAGTGAGAGCCAATGCATGATGGGAGCTGGTGTCTTGCAGCCCACTTTGGGCCTACATGGGGGTTAGCCAAGAACTGCTGTTCCCGTTCTTCCCCCCCCGGGCTTCAAAAGCACACATGAGTTTGGGTTTCTAATGGTTGTTCAGTTCATCTAGAGAGAATGAAATTCACTGGTCATCCCCAGACACTGCAGGTAGTGCAAGAACACAACACAATGTCTTTACTTCAGTGTCTTCTCAACCATGATTATTTCTATCACAGGTTTGTGTAGTAGTGTTTCGGACACAAGCCTTGTCATCTCAGTTGTGGATCATTATAAAGCTTTTGCTCTGTGTTGACCGCGGTTGTTTATTCCAGTATTCTCCAAAGGGGCATCTATCCAGACCATGCCCTCTCTCAGCAAACTTTTGAAGGCAGTCACCGAGTGTGTCATTGGTAAGCAGAAGGCCTATTTCCCCTCACATAATTCTACTTTACCTCCTTCCCTTTGTGACTGGAATATAATTCCCATAATCAATGAACGTCACATGTCTACAGGTCTTCAGTATGTATGGGAGTACCGCAGCCCGAGTAAATCCGTCCCACCACACTACCAGTGCAAACTCTGTGCCGTCTCCCGCCTGCAGCATGATATGCTCGCCCACGTAAGAGGCTGGAAACACAGCTTCAGATACTTGGTGAGTATTGCTGGTTTCTTAATCTGCATCAAAGGCTTGATGTGGCAAAATGATTTGTACTATTCGAACATTTCTCTGCCTTGTACACAGAAAAAGGTCCATCCTGAGAAGGTTGTACATGAAGAGGAAGAGGCCATCAAAGACCCCGTTGTAAGGAAGGCAATTAAAGAAATTTCTGCTGCGGTGGAGAAGTCCGAGGGAAGAGGGCAACTCAAGGTGAGAGTTAGACACATATCACTGCAGCAATGGCAGAGAAGTCTTGTTTCATCCTCCTGGGCATAGATTTTATTGCTTATAATGATCATTGGAAACTAATGTCTATTGTAAAGTACTGGTGAGAAGATGAAATCTAAACACATCTAAACTAAACAACTCTAAAGTTATCACAGCATTAATTAATACAGTTTATCTTCCATCTCAACGATTGCGAGGTGTTGGGACTTCCCCATGCGGTTGGGAGTTGGGCCTGCATGGTAGTCAGCAGCCTGATTTGGGTTAAATTCCCACCAAGCCCCACCAGACGTTAAATCTCCCCTACATGCGATTTTTCGTCCAAACTCAACACTAAGGTCTCATTAGACGAGGGCCACAGGTGTTCCTGTGTTACAGCCCTGCCTTCACTGAGGCTATGAAGATCAGCGTTACTTCGAGCTCGGAGCCAGGATGTAGTACTGCAGTCGAGCAGTCCTATCTATCAATCAATGTCATCAATGTCCTATGTTTATATTTGAGCGGTAGGTTTACTTATTTCATACAGTATGATTGTGGATTTGACCTTTGTCTTTCCTTTTGTGACCTTCAGGTGATTCTGAAGGAGCCCTGTGAAGTACCTGCTTTCAAAGGACTCCGTAAGTTACTCTGCTGTGAAATAGTTCAGCAACAAAGTATTTCCTGTTGGTCGGTAACCGAAGTTGTGAACGTCTCTCATGTCCTTTCCTCTCTCACAGGTACTGCTGTTCCTAAATTTATTCCTCCAACAGCACCAGGGATGGGACCCAAGGGACCACCCTTTGGTGAGTCCTTATCATTCAAGCATAATCTATGTAACGCTGTGCACGTGTGCTGTTTTTCTAATGAATAACTGTATTTAAATGTAACAGCTCTCTCAGGTCCCAGGTTCTCTGACCCGAGGTTTCCAGGGGATTTTCCTTCTCAGGGTGGTCTTCTCTCTGACTATCCAGGGGGAGACTACGGGGAGCCCGACTTCAGTGGCTTTGATTATCCGACCAGGCAAGATTCCCTTGGCTGTGATATGGATCGAAGGCCTTTCCCAGATGGTATGGGTCATCACCCAGCTGGGACTGGAGATGGTTTTGGATCAGGCGGTGGAAGAGATGGCTATGGAAGGAGAGGACTCCTCGAGGACCCAGGCAGGACGCATACTGATGGGTACCGGAGTGGCTTATTGGACAGACCAGTGGACAAACCACTGGAGAGGCCAGGCTTGATGGGAGCAGCTCCAGACAGTAGCAGCCGCTCTAATACACTACTCACTTACCTGGTACGTGTCCCATTCCTCAGGTTCCTCCACAGCTTAGCTAATGTGTCAATGCTGTTTTATTCAATCTTTGTATTGAAACATATAGTAACTTTTTTTAATGTATTTTTAGGATTCCTTCCGGATAGAGAACGAGAATGACGCACAGCTGGTGCTGAAGGTGACACAGAAGCTGACAGATGTGCTGATGGAGTACAGACTGAGAAGCGTATCGAGGGTATGGAGCTTGTTTTTACTCACACAGCCCTGTTCTCATATTTAAAACCAAGTGTTAAAGATACATCTTTTCATTTGATCTAGCTCAGAAAACCAGATTTGCATGTGCCCGGATTTCTCAGTTGTTGAATTATCTCATTAGTTGATTGACACAAGTAAAAGTGTATTTGGCAACATGTGCATTGTGTTCTCATACATTTTCTGTCTTCACTTCCTCCTCAGGGTTCTAGTCTGAACACCATGTCAATGAGCTCCACAAGCTTCTCCTCTACCACCCCCAGAATGTTCAGCAGCAGCGACCGATTCCCTTCTAGCAGTCTCCTGGGTATGTAAGCACAAAGTCTCCCGTCGACCTTTCCATTTGATGCATCCGTGATTCAAATGTGGAAGGTTGTGATATTGTATGTTGACTCTAAGACAAAGAAATCACTGTTGCTCATTCTTGAAATGACACGGTAGACAAAATGTACGTGAAGCATCTTTCTATGTTCATATTGTTTTTGGCATATTGTCTCTCTGCAGGTCCAAACAGGTACTCTGATGGTCCCAGCAGGTATTACAAATGACAATCCAAGATGTGACACCTCAGTCTTCTCATCCCTCTGGCCGCATCAGACTGTGCAGGAGTCAAACTTTGATTTTGTGTAAATGTTTGTGTAGATGCATAGTTTCTTTTTTTTTATGGTTTTAACTTTGTTAGAATGGGATTTATTACTTGGAAAGTTTTACACAGAATTACTCGTGCATGTTTTCAGCAGCTTTAACTGAACTTACGTGATTGACCATTGTTCATTTCCCAAAGCCCTGTTGTATTAAAAGAAATGGAGAAATTATGCGTTTTTGAAGTCCATTCAATCAAACTACTAAAAACATTCTTCAGTTCCCATGCTGTATAGAGAATAATGGGGGATTCCCCAATACGTTCCGAATGTAATCCCAGAAGTGTTTGAGACACTTATCTACTGGTGGAGCAAGTTTCAGTGGACGCATCAAATGACTTCATCCCGAGATTACACTACAAAGAGTCTGAATAATTCCTGTTGACTGTTGTTGAAGTTAATCCTATCTCATTATAGATGTCTGCAGTTTCAAAGTAGATCCTGCTCCAACGTTGCAGATGTAGAGCTGTATATAGTCACATCACATACAACAATTAAACATTTATTTTTTTTAATACATGGAAATGTCACAGAGGGAATGTAAAGAAATGCTCAACAATAGTTATAAAAAAAAAAAAATTAAAAAAACACCAAAGTGGTAAACAACTCAAACTCAGCTGGTTGATGCAATCAAGCAGAATTACAGTTAAAAGACAAACTTGATGGTAAGATAATAAGAATCCATCTTTGGCCAGCGTCTGCATTTGAGCGTCAATGTTCAACTTCCTCCCAAGATGTCCTCCATCTGCTTCATACTTATGGGAGTGAGAAGCACTTTTGTCCCCAGGAACTTTTGGCCATCGTGCCTTTGAGCCAGTGCAGCAAGCTTTTGAGATTTGAATTGAACCACGGCCTCACCAATGCATTTGCCATCACTGTCATGCAGGGAGATGATATTATCCTCCCTCACTTTGTATTTACTAAATAGTCTCTTTATGTGGCGTTTCTGTACATCTGCGGGCATGTTTCTGACAAACAGGCACGTCTTAGCTGCCGGGTCCGGGGTCTCGCTCAGCGTCTCTTCTGGCGTCTCGTCTGGCGTCTCTTCTGGATTTGTTTTACTCTCTTGATTCGGTTCCTCCTTCTTCGTGCCGGTCTTCCGGCATTGCTTAAGATTTCTGTGATGCGTTTTGGCCATCGTGTCCCACATCATTTTTTTTGTGATTGATGAGACCTTAATGGTATCAGAGCCCACGTGGCAGCCAGTGAGATTTATTGCATACTCGTAATCCTCAGTGCGGTTAAAAATCAGAAAGGCGGTGTCTGTTCTGCTGCCTTCCAGGTCAAGCAGATGTTGTACATTTCTGTGTGCAATGTTTGGACATCCAAACAATTCTTTTATTTCAGTCTTGGTCATGATTTTGGGTAAATTAGTGACCATGACAATGTACTCCATAGTCGGAGTACATCTTGGCTTTTTTGGTGTTTCAGATGGCGACTGGTTGACGGCTCTCCTCTTGAGCAGCGGTGCAGAAGTGTTTTTTTGTTTGTGGTTTACAGTTCCCCCGAGAGGGCTTTGCTCGGGTGTCACTCTCTCCCCAACTCCGAGAGCAGTTTCACATTCTTGCACCGCATTGGTCCACATCTTCTCAGTAGCTCCACGTACCTCCACACAGATGGTGCCCAGCGACCGTTGGTTGAAGAGAAGAGCGCCACACTCATCCTGCGTGTTGGCGAACTTCACAAGGCAGCCGTGGCCACGTCCCAGCTCCACATTCACTATGGCTTCCTGCACCGTCAGCCCCGTGAAGAACTGGCAGATGTCCTCTTTAGTCGTGGAGGCCGGCAGACCGAAGAGCCTGACGTAGCCTGGCCTCGAGTCCAGAGTTTGCTTTTGTGTCCTCGTCTCATCGCACACAACCGGGCCGTCGGCCTTGGGAAAATCAACACTTGGCACTGCAACGCTGTTTTCACTTTGAAGGGAGGAATGGAGACCTTGGAGGACGGTACAAATCCCGAGAAGAAAGGCAGTTTTGGAATCAACTGATTGTGCATTCAAGAGTGGTAGATTTGTAACATCAAACTTAGGAGGCAGATTTGCAGTATTTGGATTGACAGGATGTGCATTCAAAGGTAGAGCATTTGCATCTGGAGCTGCATGCGGTCGCTTCACGGTAGGCTGCATGGGGGAGGGTTTCTGCCTCTTCAACGATGACTTTAGTTTTTGCTCCAGCTCTGCCATGCTGCTTATGTGTAGAGTCACCAGAGACCCTTTGAGGAAATTCTCAGTGTACTGCATGGCTTGCTGGGCATCTCTCTCTGTGGTGAACGCAATAAAAGCCTCTCTGAGGCTTCCTCCCACGATGTACACTCCACCTTCAGGAATATGAAGGCCCTTAAAGAATGTGCGTATGTCTTCAGTACCTGCCTTCACAGCGAGGCCTTGCAATCGCAGGATTATGGTCATTTTTTCACACCAGGCCACGGGGCGTCTGAAAAGTAAGACACCATGGTGAAAAATGCAAAAGTAACAAAGTTAGTAGTATGTTGAGGTTTTACCACGAGACATCAAGCAGGGAAAGAACACACGTGCGGCAAACGGCAGCACTGGAGGGGAAAGAGAGCCCGGCAAAATGTTGAAAAAAAGTTTCCTGTCTCTGACGAAGATGCAAAAATACTCACCACAGATGTCCACAATTGATCTTTTTGCGAGTACTATGGTTGCTGTTATGTCTCAAGTTAGCCGTGACAACATGCTGAAAGAGAAGTTCTCCTCTTTTTACCTCACTGCTCTCTTCTTTGTCCAAACTGCGCAATGAGCGCCGTTTGCCGTACTTTGTGGTTTTTCCCTCTCCCGCCCCTTTTACTTTCTCGACAACATGTGTGACGCACATTACCGCCAACTACAGGACTGGAGTCTGAGCCACAGTCAGGACAATACTTCTCTAAAAAGTAACTTCTGTGTCTGGCTGAATTAGAAATTAAACGACATTTAGCGACTTATTACAGTCTGATCAGTACATTAACTTATTTCTGAGCCGAGTCCTTTCCTGTCCAGTTGAGTCCTCCTCTCTTCTACACATCTCTCACCCTGCTGCCGGTGATTTCATGCATGTATCAGATTACGCACACTGACAGGAACACTTCCTTATTTGGTAAACTCGATGACTTCACTCTTTCCACACAGGTTGTGTTTGTCATAGACACATTCAACAGTTTTCTATTTTCTAGTGCTTTTTTTGGACAGAAATATCATTATAATCACATTATGGTTATTAAATCACTTCGTAATAATTCACAATACACATGGATACATTAATCAACTCTTAGGTTGTATTTCATTTTCTGATCATAGGCTCTGTGTTCTTTGGCCTGGTGTTTTAGTCTTTATGCCTTTTACTTAGGGCAGCGCTTCTGGGATCTCAACTCTACTTGATACCCTCCACAAAAAAATGTGTAATAAGTCCTCAAAAAAATGTAACCCTCAGATCAAACATCTGAAAAAAGGACAGGGACAAAATATATAATTAGCACTATAAAGAGACAAAATTCTTCAGCCAACAACTGACCACAAAACTAGTTTATCATGGCACAATGATCCAAAGCACCTCTCACGCCCATTGGGTACTATTCTCTGCACAGCTTCTTTCTTCCACACAGAAAGTCCAACCGGCTTTGTAATGCTTCTCATAATATCATCTACTCTATTTCTTTCAGGTAAATTAACATACAACCACACTCTATCAGCAGGAAGTGAAGAAGACTCGGCTGCAAACATGTTGTTTCCTGCCAAAAGTCCCTTATGACTCACCCATCTCATCTCACCCGTGGTAAATAAAGTTAACCCAGAACAAAATAATCGGTTAACGCTACTAATCTGTCTACAGTCAGCCCCCCGAAAAGTTATTTACCAACGACAATGTATCCTGTTTAACTAAATCAATCTGTATTGTTTATCTCTATGCAAATCTACTTTAGCAGACTTTGCCTTAACTTCAAAAAGTGATGCATTTAAACAGACACTCTATCAGTTCACACCTTATATCTCTCTTCCCTTCCTCCTTGTCAAGCTCTCAAATTTTGACAGTCATAGTTATAGAATATTACTTCATAATATGAATTTTGAACAGTTTGGCTTTGTGTCTAATAAAGCTGATTTACTGTGATTATATTCTTTATTTTTCATTCCTAACTCTACACTCATATTTTCCTTGCTTTTAAGTTGTATTAATTTGCATACTTACAGTTAAAATTAAATTGGCTAACATAAACCAACATGTGGAGTTTTTTTCTGTGACGCACAACCTAATGTGGTCGCGACGTCATCACGCTGGGTGAAAAGGATTGTGGGTAAAAAGGAAGACCGTTGTTTACCATGGCGACGAGGACGCTACGGGGTATATACGGGATGTATCTAAACAGACACAAAGTGCCTCTCACATTGGTTCTGTTAGTGTACATTGATTTACTCAATGGCCAGCAGTATGCCATTCCATTTAAGTCTCCTTCAGACTGTAGCGCTGAAGAATTTTTCGATATCTCGAGTCTTTCGTGTGTGAGGTGCGGTTCAAACCTGCGACGGAGCACAACAGGTCGGCTACCATCTTCACACCACATCACGATAACTGATTTACTGACGATGCTACAACAACAAGTGTGATCAGGCTCACGTTAAAACGAATGTGCTGTCACTGTGAGGTGGTACGACAGCGCAATGAGCTGGAGAGCCGTTAGCTAAGCTAGGTGCAGAGCTAGTTAGCGTTAGCTAAGATATTCAAAATCAGTTCAGAACTTGTGACGACAAGTTCACAAAGACAGACTGTATCGGGCTCTGTTTGAATTTAATAACGAGTAAAGTCAATACTTGCTCCCACAGACAGGTCCGGGAAATGTGTCTGAAACTAATATTGTAAAATAATATTATATATAATGTGAATAATATTTTCTCATATCAGTGTTTATGTATCTTTGAGACAAAATCATACAGGATAGTCAAACTGGTATTTAAAGCAATACACTGGGTTCCACGTTGATGCATTAATCAACCCAAACTCTTCATATGTTAAAAATATTCATTATCGATTCATTTTTTATTTGGTCTATGAAATGACATCACATTTTCGAAAGTGATGTCATTACATTGCTTCTTTAGTCTAAACATCATTTCAAAACCAAAAGATATTGAGTTTACTATCACGAAAGCAGCAAATTGTCATAACTGAGAAGTGGGAACCATTGATTGGTCATTGGTTATGCATTACCACAGAAAATATATCCAAAAATACATTAAATAATGAAAATGAAAATTTGTTGTGTTTTGCAGAGGTTTTCCCGTTTTACATTATGTTTATATATTACTTACTCAATCTACCAAAACTTTAGCAGCATAGCAATGGAAAACATGATGCTTTCATGGTTCTTGTCTGTTTACTGTACATGTTGAAGCTAGTCTTCTATGGCAACATCTATCCCACCAACAGTTTATACAGCAATAGTCGCTAAGTGTTGACAGTGACTTCACTCCCCCCCCCACAGTCTTGTGGGAGTGAAATACTCTCTTGTTTTTATTACTATTAACAAGAAACATGCATCTGGGATTTGTTAATTAACTTGTCATAGTTGAAGAAGCAGCACAGGCAGGAAGGACCCAAATGCAGAGTCAAAGACAGGCTGAAAACAATCAAGATATCTATTAAAGCGAGTCCTTAAAGCAGGCAAGGACAGATTTCAGGTATACAAAACTCCATGTTACGACAAAGACGGACATGATAAAAGACAAGAAGAGCACAGAGACGAAAATACACAGGGAAATGAGGAAGTTAAAGAGGGACAGGTGACAGTAGGGCTAACGAGCAACAGGTGGAACTAATAAGGCCGGTACAGACAATCTGTCCCTGCCATTATCCATACTATTTAGTATGCCAAAAATATGTCAAATGCAATATGCCAAAAATGCCAGGATGTGCAACTGCATACGGTTGCATTTTGCAGTATGCAAGCCAGCATGCTTCTCTGGCTATTCTGTTTTTGGATGACAGCTAATCACACAAGCGGGAAACAAACAAAGGCAGGAAGTAAAGCAAGATGAGACGACACAAGAGGAGAGAACTGTCAAACTAAAACAGGAAACAAAGTTTAACAAAAACCTTGAACTATGGCATAACTAATATCTCCAAACTCAGCACTGTACAACATGCTCTTAACTTTTCTCTGGCTTTTTGCAGGACTGAGCTGCATTTGCAAGACTGGGTACCAAACTCTCACCACTGACAAGGCCTCCATTACTTGTCAGCAATGTCCCACTGACAGACCTGTCCGTGAAATTCACCTATAATGTCCTTATTTGGTGTTCATCTCACATTATACTGTAGATACTGCATCTCACATTCCTTGCGCAGCTTCTCATGCCATTTGTAATGATGATAGTTTGACAAGTTGTCTCTCATTACAGGCAGTATCTAAAGATGGGTTTGGGTGTATTCGCTGTCCAGGCAGTGTCAATGATGAGGGGAAGTGCCAGTGCCTACCAGGAAATGTCCTGGGTGAGTCACCAATTACAGGACTAATTTATGAATTGCAAGAATGTTTCTGATAAACAGTAGTTCATGTTCGATGTGCTTGCTGCAAATTCAACACGAGGCAATAGGATAGTTTATTAATGTATTGTATGTTTAAATGGCTGAATATTGGCTGTTTTTTCAGTGGAGAGAGATGTCAATGGAAACCTTTTGGATGAGGCCAGCTGTGAAATGTGTAATGGAAACTCCCCTGGTTTGTCTGTACCAAACAACAGTGGAGACAGGTACGCATCCACACCAAACTATGAAAACACTGATATATTCAGCTGTTTCATCCAGGTTGACCGTGGCATCTGAGGTCAGACCTTTTTAGAAATTATATGAATATTGAACAATAAACGGACACAGTTCCAACTATCCAACAATATCAATATTTCACACACTCAACATGAAATGAAATCATCAGAATATAATGGATAAAGCTAATCAAAATATAGAAAGTGCAAATCAATTCACAGTACTGTCCTGTGAAATTATTTATATATACACATTATAGTAAGTTCAGTGGAGCACAGCACAATCATGCCTGTAGAATTTTAAAGGTATTTACCAGGCAAGTTGCATTATTTTACTTGTTGAATCCAGTAGTTTTGGAGCTTAGTGGAACAGTCTCAGCCTCTACTACTTCAATTTAGAGCATTCTTCCACCAAATTCATGAAACTCAATACTAAATAGCCAGATTGCTCTTTCAATGGGTTATTTGATCTGCAGCATAGCATACACAATAACTCAAACTTTTAAGGGAGCATTATGGAATTTTTAATATTGGGGATTATATTTATACAAGTGTCTTCTTTTCTGATCCCGTCTTTTAATCCATAATACAATAAATAAGGACCCCTGCACAGAAAATATATCTTCCCTGTCTTCATCCATCTATGCCTAGTAAGCACTAGTCCATGACCCTCATCATTGCGATGACAGAGTGTATTCCTTAATTGACATATTATCCCATTTAGTTTGTTTTGACAAATGGCTTATGTCCGCTTACTCTCTCTTAACGTCGTTAGTGAAGTGCTGTCAGAGTACAGTATGCAAGTGTTGGAACAGTCTCCAAAATTGTCTTTCAGGTGTGAGAGATGTCAGGCTTCCTTCATTAACTCCTCCTGTGTGTGTGACCCTCCTAATGTCCTGGTGAGTTCTGCTGACCCTCCACACACACCATTCAGTTAGATACTCGTAGAATACATCTATATCTATTCATGGTTGGCATGTGACTTTCCAGGCAGGAGGAATATGTTTCCCTCCAGGCAGCCTCTCCACCAATGTGAATCCCAGTGTCAACTATGCTCAGTTGGTGAGTCTGCTTTTCCTCTGTCGCTTGCTCACTTAGTTTTTGTTTATTTTCATGTATTCTGATTTATGTTTTCTGCCCTTTTCTCTTTGCAGAAGTTGAGTGTCCAGTCTGCCTGGTTCTTCAAAAACCTGTACTCCTCGTCAGCAGCCTGCCTAGTAATTCCATGTCCTATTCCATGTTTCATGTTGGAAAATAACCTTGTTCTTGATCTA